AAAGTGATTACTGATAATGAAGAACCTGCTTCTGTCATTTCCCTGTTTTCTATACATCTTGTATAGTTTTTGGTTCTCAGTTTCTCCAATAACGTGTTTGGTTTTCTTTAGTGTGCTATTTTGATTCCCGCTTCATTTCCTTTTTTATATATATTTTAGTTATTTTCTTAGTGGTTCCAATTGGATTACAGTTAACATTCTAAATTTATAACAGTCTGTATTGAATTGATATGAGTGTAGCTTCAATGTCATACACTAACTCTACATCAAAACATCTCTGCTTTCCCGTTATGTTGTTATTGTTGTAAATTACATGCTGTGACATCATTTTCCCATTAACATGGATTTATAATTGTGGTTTTACGCACTTGTATTTTAAACCATATAGGAAACAAAAAAGAAGTGTTACAAACCAAAAATACAATAATATTGAGTTTCCAATTATAAAAGGTAAAGTCTTTTTATACCAGTCACTAACCTTTCACAACCAATTAACAATACATCTAAAGATAAACAGCAAAATTCATTAGAAATGAAAGGATAAACTGACAAAACTACATTAGTATGGTATATTTTTCATAAGTTCTAGTCACTGATAGATTAACTTTTTAAATATTCATAAGATTATAAAATTTGAATTAAATAAATATGATATAATAGATAAATATTGAAATTTTGTGTGTGTGTGAGGAAGATTCACCCTAAACTAATCTCCATTGCTAATCCTCCTCTTCTTTTGCTTGAGGAAGATTAGCCCTGAGCTAACATCCATGCCCATATTCTTCTATTTTGTATGTGGGATGCCTCCACAGCATGGCTGATGAGTGGAGCAGGTCCACACCCGGGATCAGAACCCGCGAACTCCAGGCCACCAAAACAGAGCACATGGAACTTTAACCATTTGGCCATGGGCCTGGCCCCTTTATTGAAATTTTCACACTAACTTTATAACCAGGTGGGAAATAATGAGAATAAAAGATTCCCTTTGCAGTAATGACAAGACTATATAATCCTTAGACATAAACACAAGGAGAAATGTACAGAACTTACACGACGGACACAATGACACTTTACTGAGGACATAAAGGAAGAATCAACTAAATAGAGAGATATAAAATTATTCCAGGCTAGAAAGATTAGTTGTCAAATTTCCCCATATTAATTTATAATTTAATGGAATTCCAATTAAAATAGCAAGTTTTTTGGAAATAAAAAAAATGAAGTTCATTTGGAAGAATATATTCAGTAGATTAGATGTGGTCAAGTTTAAAAAGAGATTTACTAAAGAAGGATGTCCTTATAGTTTTTTTTTCTGCTTTATCTCCCAAATCCCCCCGGTACATAGTTGTATATCTTAGTTGCAGGTCCTTCTAGCTGTGGCATCAGATTTTAAAATATATTATAAAGCTACATATTTTGGAATTGGTGTTGAAATAGATGGATAAATCAGAGAAACATATTAAACATTTCATAAGGCTACAAACAGATATGAACATTTGATATTAATTTCTTTATTTAGCAAATATTTATTGATTCTTTCTGTTCACCTGTCCCTCTTTAGGTAGCGGGGATATAGAGGTTGAATAAGAAGACACAATGTCTGCCCACATGAAACATATGATGAGAAACAAAACAATAAGCAAGCATATAAATAAATATGCCATTTCAGGTAGAATTAAGCGCTATGAAGAAAAATAAAGCAGACTAAGGAGACAGAGTGTGATGGGTTGGAGTGGCATTTTATTTTAGAAGGAGTATACAGGGAAAGGCTTTATGAGTGGGTAATGTTTGAGTGGAGATCTGACTTGAGAAAAAGAGTGAGCCATGCTCACTGTCCAGGTAATAGCAAACATTAAAATACCTAGGTGGGAATGAGCTTGGCATGTTCCAAGATTAGAGAGAATGCTAATGTGGCTAGCAAGGAAAAAAATCACAAGAGAGAAATCTAAAAGATGAGGTGGCACTTTAAGCTGGTGAGACAAATTTGGATGTTTCAATAAACTGTGTGGACACCTGGAAAATCATGCCACACTAATTCCACAGGAATTAAACGTCACTTTTAAATTCTAGAAGAAAATATCCATTGATATTTAAATGACCATGGCAGGGGCCTGGACTTTCTAAGCATTACATCACATTTGCAATTCATAAAGGGTAAGACTGATAATCTCTCTGAATAAATCTCAACTTCTGTAAGTCAAACAAATTGAAAGGGAAATAAACTAGAGAAAATATTCACATCTATGAGTGACAAAGAATTCATGTTATTAGTATCGAGAGGGTAAGTAAGCTCCTAGAATTCCATGAGTAAAAGACAAGCACTCCAACCGAAAACAAGGGGGCAAAGGACACAATTGATGACCATACAAGTGGACATCAAAATGCGAAAAAAATGTAATTTGCTTTTTTTGACTAGGGACCAGCGTGTACAGAGACACCATACACACTGCTAAGCAAGAGTTCAAATTCAAGCAATAGTTCAAATCGTTCAAATCTCCTTTTGGAGAGAAGTTTGACAGTGTTTACCAAAGACCTTAACAAGACATATAACATTTGACTAGACAATTACTTTTCCAGGAGTTTATCCTAAATAAATTATTATGAATCTTTGCAAAGATTTTAGCTATAAAGATGTTTATCACAGTCGATGTTTATATTTATAGAAAAATGGGAATAGTAATGTTGTTTGACATTAAGCGATTAAATAAACTATGACATATACATGTATGTGCATATATATGCATATTCCAGGCAGGATTAAAATTATATTGTGGAAGAATATGGAATGATCTGTAAAGATATTTATGGTATATTCATTGATACAAGGAGTTTTCAAATACATACGTTAAAAAAAGAATGTATATGCTCTTCTTTTTCTTTAATAGTGATGCCTACACGTTTTGGGTGGTCACAAGGTCTTTGGGAATTTATGAAAGCTGTGCATCCTTTCTCAGGCAAACGTACATATGTATATATTTACAAAATGTTGCAACTCTTCTCAATCTGGTCTCAATTCATCCTTCCAATCTTATATCTTGCAAGTTAACGCTGTCCTTGCTTTTACCACCCTTCTCCGCAACACATATACACTCTCCAGTCATATACAATTTTTTAAGAGCACACCATGGCACCTAGTTGTGCACAATCTTTGTTCTATCTAGTATGCTCTCTCCATCATTTGATTGTCCACTTAGTTTTGAAGAATCAGCTCATACTTCATTGGTGAAGCCTCCTTTAATTTACTCACTCCGTTCTCTATGCTTTGAACTTCTATAGCACATTGTGTATATATTTTTTTCACTATAAAATAGATTATATTTTACTGATAATTATATGTGTCTCTTTCTTCACCTTCTTCTCTTTTAACTTAGAACTCCTAAAGGCAAGTATCATATCTTATTTGTCTGAGTTGTTATTTTAAAAATTAGTAGAATGCATAAATAAATGAATGCATTAATTAATGAATTGATTTGTGGCAGTAACCAATAATAGTGTTTCATAAATCTATTTACTATCTGTGTCAGACAGCTGTTGTTGGACTTTTCAGATGTACTAAAACATCTAGTATGAGTTTAATCTTTCCCTCTTCCCAGTCTGGCTCTCATCTCCTCCCCTAGGACTTCTAATTAATCAGTCACCTCTAATATAAAAGATGTCATTATATTGTGGCAGCAAAGAATAGTAGGGATTTTCTGCATTTATATTGAAATTCTTAGAGTTATGATAAAATGGAAAAAATATTACGAGCATCAAAGATATATTACTAAAAAGCTTTTGAAGATAAATATCCACATGGCATAGTTTTGGAGCAACGTTAAATGCAGACGGAACACAGTCCATTCAACCAAGAGGAACTTTACGATAATCATCTCTTTACTTGTTTCTCCTGAATCATATGAGGGGGATGCACAGTCTCCAGAAATGTATCTTAAAATTTTCCTTTGTTTCTTCCTCTCCTACACACTTTTTCTTACATATCAGCTATCCTCACACTTATTTCCTCTCAACTCCCCCACTCTATAAAAATCTCCATCAGCTTTCATCCCTAAAAACCAGTTATAGTTCTCCTTTTATCTTCCTTTATTGCTGATTTTCCATTGTTAAAACCTAAAACCTATTTGGCAATAGGTTGCCAAAAAACCTATTAGGCAATCCTTTGAGGGTGCAGAAAGGGAAGAGACTAAGAGGCATATTCCTCTTTTTAAGAGGTAATGGGAGAGAAAGAGCTGTGAATAATCAAACAGAATTTTTAATTTGCCATTTTATGAGTTTGTTGTGTGACCTTAAGCAAAGTCACATAACCTCTCTGCTTTCATCTTCTCATTTGTACCTACTCACAAGTATATATGTAGATGTAAAGTTAAAAAAAAAGAAAGCCTTTTAAAAATGCTGTACAAATAAATGCAAGTTGGTTTTATTATTGTACAGAATGATCCAGGGTCAAAACCAGAAATGCTTTAGAAATATTTTTTATATAAAATAGTTTCGATCTTTAGTGACCAGAAATATTAGTCATGTTTTTATATAATGGTTGGTCTGAGAACTTCTTTCCTGAAAATATTGAGAGTTAGAACTGAAATCGTGAATCCTTTATTACTTGTGCAACGTTTAGTTCTTATTTGACTTTTAAAAATTTGAAGGCTTTAAACAATCTTCTGTGATTAATTTTAAGATACTACTTAAACACCCTACTGAGTATAACTAAAAACCTTTTTTTCTTGGTCCTTCATAGAATCTGTAATGATGTATAACTCTTTTTCAAGTCATTTAGATTTTTCTGGGATTTGGTGCCATCATGAGAGTTAGGCATTTTATCGTTCAAGATCCTGAAAGTGACTTTCAAAGAATTAGTTATCTGAGAATGGTACATTAAACTTCAGAGAATACAAATTTGATTACAGTTGGGATTAACCAGGTAAAACGAAACAAAGTCTGAGCCCCTAAAAAAAGACCCAGAACAGCAGAAATACCATAAGGATGTGAATCAGCATAGTCCTTACCTTTCTCCTTTTTACTCTCCAAGAGTCAGCAGCACCAGCCTCATTTAAAAGAGCCAACAGACAAAACCTTTGATAGAGTGGGATCTCCATCTGCTTCGAAAGCAGAGGGATCCCTGGAGTTTTCAACAGAGTGATACATAAATATGGTGTTCCGCATCTTCCCTACAATTTTTTGAAACAACCCTGTACTTCTGAACTACTTAACAAGGTTGTTTGGTTGAGGATTAACTCCTGAATTGCTGTTGAGAAAGAGGTCCCCATCAGCTTTCAAAAGATCTGTGCCTCTGAAAAGAGTGGTGTGGCTGAAAGATGAATCATCCAGCTGGATTTCTTTGTGGTGATTTTCCCAGACAACCTTATGTAAGGGAGGAGGCAAGGGGGAGGGAGGAAGTGATGAGTAGACATTGGTCAAGCAGAGGGGAAGGATATTGGTGATTTTACCAAGCCAAAAGTAAAAACAGGAGAAACCAGAAATATGACTTTAGACCCCTGAAATGGAAGAAAATTCTGGCCTGAGGAGAGACAGTTTCTCTGGTACATGCAGAGGGGTATGAAACAGAGAGTGAGTTCTCAGAAGTGGCAACCAGAGTCTCCTGCTAAGAACTAGAAGGAACTGGCAAGATAGCTACTGGCTTCTCTTCTCATTCCCCTCTGTGAGTTCTGTATTAATCTGCAAATTCACCTTAAAATGAGATTGTTGTTTCTTTAGGCTTATAGGTAAAGGTGCAGTCTGCTCTTATGTTTCCTATTCTAAGATTATCTATCTTCAGTACTATTTATATTTATAATTAAAATGCTTCGTAGTTCTAGTTCTGGCTAAACCAGCATAGGCAATGTTCCTCACTTTATAATTTATGAGAATGCTGAAAGATTTAATTCCATTAAGCAAGATCATAAAAGTCTGCTGTCTGAAGATAGGATGCAGTAAAGTTTTAATGTAATTTGAAGGGAATTAGGTGTGCATTCCTGTTATAGCTAATAGAACATGAGTATCAACAGTTCTTTGCAGGCCATTAGGAATGAACTTGAATATATCTTACCTCTAGAATTTTGAAACCTAGTCGCTTTATTCTGCCAAAAAATTCATTGTTACCGTGAAGACATTTGATTTTTTTTTAAGTCAGACTATTTTGCTTGTGCCCTTTAGTGGAAGGGAACAATCTTTTAATAAAAATGGTAGAATGAATATTGGAAAGGGGAAATAGAAGTCCAAGATACGTGAAAAAACTTTTGAAAAGAACACTTCTTCCTTCTCAATGAAGGGACAGCTCCTGACCCAGAGGCATCACACATCAGGATTCTGAGAGATTTTATAGATAAGATTACTCAACAAGTTTGCTGATTATTGAGAATGGGAAAATATACCAAAACATTAGAACAAAGAAATGTTCCAATAATCAATAAGGAAAAGAAAATGGATCCTTTACAGACCAATGAATATGTGTTCAAAGTTGTGCATGAATTGAGCAGGTGTTAGGAAAGGGGTAGTTTGTAGTCTCTTATCAGAGAAAGCAGTGATCCTTCGAATCTACCACTAGGTCACCAAGAAAGGTCATATCAGACGATTTCTTTCCTCAATGAGGGACATTAGGGAAATTGTATAGTTATAGACTACCCAGACCACAGTATTTCACTTCTCTTCCCAGCTATCCTTTTGTGTCATTTGACACAATTGATTGCTCTTTGATTCCTGCTTGAAATAACTCTTGCTCCATAATTCTATAGAACTTTTCCTACCTCTGAATGCTCCTTGCAACGTTTACAGTCTCATTTCCCTATACCTATATAAACTATACCCTAAATGCTGGTATTCCTAAGCATTTGATCCTCTGGTTGATTTCACTATGTCTGTTGCTTAAATTCCTATCAATTAGCTAATGATTCCTAGAGCCGTATCTGAGTTCCAGACCTCTCCACTTGGATTTGCACAGGGAGCCCAAGCTCAACACATTCAAAATAAACCCAGTTCTCTCCCATTCCAGCTGCTCTCCCTGCTGAGTTTCCTGTCTCTGTGAACTGCATTGCCCAGTTACCAAAGTCAGAAAACTGAGCATCATCCTTGACTAGTCTCTTGACAGGCTGAATCCGACAAGACACATTCTTAGCAGAGATAATCATAATATACTGCACTAGGATTCCCAGACTCCCACCGAAAAAAGCAATCCAGCTATGTAAGTACGCACTGCAGGAAGTACGACTTAGCAGCAGCACGCGAAAATCACTTCAGTGCTTTGAGCTGATTTTTACATTTAATATGCATCAGTAGTTTGATGTGGCTGCTGGGGAAGGTAATACTTCCTTAAGCTGCATCAACAGCAGAAAATCTAGGGTAAGGAACTGATAGGTTCAGTCTGCTCCAGATGCCACACTTGAATAATATTGCAGGGAAGTAGGAATTACTGTGGAAGAGAGCAGCCATACCTACTCACCATGCAAGAAATGGCAGGAATATTTTACAGGGCATTAAAGATGAAATGAACTTCAATAGCCCTTTTAAATCTCATTCTCTATTAATGCCTTACTTTTTAGATTTAAAATAATTACATTTAATAGAAATTCATTTACATTTCAGATTTTAAAAGTATTCATTGTATTTTGATATTACTCATTGGTATATTTGTGGGGTCCAAGTTACTACTAGTAAGAATCTGTGAGTTCATTTGTTTCCTGATTTGGGATCCGTGGAAGGACCTCTATATGCGCTATTGAAAGGGAGACAATTACATTCATGACTTTCCCTTCTTAACCTAGTTTCCCTGGAGAGGAAGATGGGTTGAGGAGGGGATCTAATCAATCTAGACCACTTCCATGTTATCCCATTTAAGGAGAGACAGCACAGTAAGTGGAAAGGCGCTGGGTTTGGAGACTGATAGTCCTGGTTCACTTGCTTTTTATCCCCCTTCTGAGTCTTAGTTTCCTCATCTGTAAGATAAGGGCTCCAGTACATGCCTCAAGGGTCATTTGGCTTCAATGAGATGACACATCTGAAAGGGCCTGGCACATAGTCTTCTTTGCTTAATGGCCACAGCAACACCGTGAGGGGTGGGAGATAATCTCCTGGTACAATAGGAAGCCTGGAACCTGGAGTAAGATGGGTCACGGCTTGTCTTTGGTGCTTTGACTCCTTCTATGTTCCTTCTCACACTTTTCCTTCCACTCAGCCTCTATTTTAAAAACAGCAATTTAAAAAATAATGGCAATGCCTTACATATGGTCTTATATATTCCCTGTTGTGGCATTTGCACACACCTCTACTATTTCTACTATAAGCAGGGCAACTGTTTGACGGTAAGGGAAAGACTGATTGTGAAATTAAAAAACAAGATGAGAAAAGTTGTGATGGGATGGCGGTGGGGCCGGCATAGGAAAAGGAAGCCGAGGGAAAGATTTCAATTTGATTCAAAGGATGAAAAGAATCTGTTGAAGGTTATTTAGGATGGGATAAATGTAAAGAAAATGATATTTGGGAAGATTAAATATAAGAAGAGCAAACAAGATGGCCTGGGGCACAGGGAGAGATACTAGACAGGGAAAGCCAATAGATGGCTGCCGTAATAATGCAGGCAGGGGATGACAACAGCCTCACTGAAAGACTTCACTGTGGAAATGAAGATTGGAGGACATGGTAAATAGGATAATCTCCCACTGAGGGGGAGATAGAAAGATGAAGTGAATTATCATTTCAGGCGCTTGCTTCTAACACACCTGACAGACTCTGACATGAATGAGGCAGCCTCCCGCAGACATTGTCTGGTCTCTTCTGTTTCCTCTTCCTGAATTCTTTCCGTTTTATCCTTTGTGACCCACTTGAAGGCTTCTGGGGAAGGCAAAGGAGGAAGAAGTGGCTCCTTTTTCCCCAATTGCCAATTTCAGTGGATCACCGTGTGTGTCACCAGTCAGCCTGACCCCGTTATTTCCAGCATATGGAGTGGCAAATAGACCAATCAGCCGATATAGGTCAGATTGTATTCTGTCTAGCTTGGGGGGAAAATTGCATTGTCCCTGGTACCCAGGAGCTAAGGTCTGATTAATGGCTTTTATATTCAGTGCAGGCCCACAGGGATGAAAAGGACTTGACGGGCAGGAAGTCCAAAGTGAATTTAGGCTTTGAGATATAGTGAACATTATAACTTGTCACTCCATTTTTTAATTTGGGGAATAATTTTTCTTTTCTTTTCTTTAATTTTGTTGTTTTACATAGAAGGGAGATACATATACAGACAGAAGCTCAGCATCATGACACAGTATTTAAATAGCCTCATTGAAAGTTCACTTATCACAAAGCAGCATCTAACATGAGTGAAAAAGTTAGGAGGAAATGCTTGCGTTAATATTTAATTTGAGAAAATTACCATTCTGTTTCCATAAGCCTAAACAAGTCATGTTTCACACACAGAGAAACATCTCATTTTGGGCAGCACTTATCATGTAGCCACCGGTGCCACTGGGTCAGAACTTATTTTTAATGATGAGGTCCATAAATGAAGTTCACCATTAACCCAGGCAATAGATTTAAGTGAAGCTGCTGCTTTTTTTTTTTTTGCCGTTGTGATTTCATGGGTTCTCTCATACCATGCGTTTCTGTTTCTTGTCTCCTCTAGGATGCTCTGATATACACGTAAAACAGAGTTCCCAGCTTTGTGGGAACAAAAATACCAAATAGGCATGTTTAGGCTTTCACTGAACCCCTCATCATAGGATAAGGATTTATATGTAGAAGACAGTCTACAATCTTAATCCTTCCCCTCAACAAGCCAAAAGAGGAAATAGCCAAAGACCACTGTCAAATACACAACACTACAAACAGATATCTTGTGAAAGGAATACAAGCTGCTGAGGACATGACAAATCTGAGATCGATTCCTTCAGTTCTGGCTTTGAGATTTAGCTGTATGTTATCATTCATTTTAATTCACATTGTTGCTGTTCCAGTGCAGGCCAGGCAGAAACGTTTGACTTCATTATTTTAGGCGAGGAGCTTCAGATTAAAAGTGACAGAAGCCTGTTCAAACTAGTATAAGCAAATATAAAGAACATTATTACAAGGAACCAAAGTCAAGGACACATCCTGGCCTTGTGAAAGGTGGGAACCAAGAATGAGCATGCTATTAGGAACCAAGGTAGTCCCCCTCGTGCTCGCTCTTGGGCCACTTTCTCTCTTTCAGCCATCTTCCCACGTCTCATCGGCTCTTCTTTATTTCTGTCTTTGTCCTTGTTTCATGTTCTTTTTGCAGACTTACCTTTTCTCTATCTTCCTGCATAAAATAGCCAACCTATTGCTTTTAGGCTAGCATATACTCAGTTCATACAATCA